CTCGAGGCAGTCGTGTGATAACCAAAATAGCCTCATTCTCTGGACAGACCGTAGTTCAGCTGTTTTAAATGACATCATCACTGAAATCTTCTGTCTCACTCCTTGGCTCCTGTTATCTACCCTCAACTGCCTTTGTGAAATTCTAGTTCAGTGGGAACCTGTTTCTGGTACTCTTTTTAGGATACTGGCTTCAAAATGCATGCAATGAGAAAACAAACTGCAAGTCTGCTGGCTGTATGTTAACTTACTATGAACAGTGTGAGACTAATTTTCCATTACCATTTCTGACTGTGAATAGTAGCTGTATGCCACTAAGATTCCTAAGAGCTTCCTGTGGAAGTTAGATATTGCAGAGAGCAGCAAGAGCTGATGCTTAAAAAATCAGTTTTCAGAGATTCAAACAAAAGAAGCTGTACAATGAAATGATTTAAGCTTTAATTGTAGCAGTTTCAGAAGTCAAACAAACCTGTAGCAGCAGCCAGGACATTACATTGCATAACTTAAAGTCAAGCTACAGCTCTCTGCTAGTATTTTGTAGACCAGGCTGAAGCTACCAGCCTTTCTTCTCACAGTACCTCCTGATGTTGAACATATCTCACTGCTAGTAAGTCTATCTACTGCTGTATAATTGCTCTTTTAAAGATCCAGAAATAAAAGTACACTAATATGAATTGTTTCCTGCACTGATTGGATCCTCACTCCTGTTTTATAAGTTGCTCAAAATCAAGGCTGTATCAGTGAAAAAACTAGATGTTTAATGATACCAGGAAGCAATTTTATGTTTTGGCACTAGTCAGTATGCAGCAGGACATAAACAGGCATTCTGTTCATAAAACTACAATTAAATCAGAAGACAAAAAAAAGGCTGGTTAAAGATTTGTAAAGCCAAATGTCACTGGTAAATTTCTAAGTAATGTGAGAGCAAGCCCCTTACAGTACATGTTAGTGCAAACTGAAAATATTTTTCAGTAGGTTTAAATAACTTTTTTTTTTCCATTTGAAGTCTTAACATTGTTAAAAGCTATACTTGTAACTCGGCTCTTAAAGGCGTAGCACAGCAATAGAGTGGAAGATGTATAAGGACTAAGGCAGAATAACTTCTACAGTGGTTGGAGGCATTACTGAAGCTTTCTCCTGTTACTAACTGTATGAGGGTAGTCTGATCAGAACTGCTGCTCGGCTTAACCTGTTTATCTTTCATCTTTAATGTCACTGGTCTGGTCATTGTAGTATTGTTTGGAAAATGTATTTTTCAGAAATGAGTTTTCTGTAAAAAAGATAAAGAGAGAAGACAGATTTTGTACTCACAGTGAAGGAAATACACAAAAAAATCCACTGTTATTTATAAGTTTTGGAAGTTACTGACTTTGTACAGAACTGCACTGTGGTGGTTTGGCAGAAATGTTCTTTTTGTGCAACTCAGATTTTTAAGAATAGTGACAATTAGTGAAATGTGTTTCAGAGAGTGTCATCTCTTAGGCAAGATGAGTTTTGGTAATTGACAATACTCAGTGCTTATATTAGGTTTGAACAATAAAGACAGCAAAGTGTTATCATGACCATCAAAAGATACAGTAAATCCTCTATGAGGAGTACAACAATAGACTGTTATCAAGTGTGTTAGTTTCGGTACTGAACAGATCAGAAGCACACACCAGGAATGCTAATTTAAGGCTCTTTAACATGTTAATGCAAGCAGTGCATTAGGGAATACTTAATTAAAAAAACAGTAAGACCTATGCCGTACAGAGTTTCACCACGTTTTTTTTTTTGCATGCAGTGTAATAATGTGAATATGAATGTTAACTCTAATTCGGCAGGGAGAGCAGCTTCACAAGGTAAAAAGCAGTGTCTCACACCAGAAAGTCAAAATGATCTATACTGTTGTCCTGCTGTATACGGTCTTACTGTTTATTACTTTATTGTGTGTAGAGTGCATGTTTCTGCAAAAAATTACAGCAGTTTAGTGGCACAGAACATTTTCCTGTTGCACAGCTGGGAGCTGAGAACAGTTCTGTAACATACTCACCATGGATTGTCTTCCTAACTAGTTAAAACTATTGAAGTCCACTGGTGCTGGAACTGATCATACTGTGTTTATTTTTCTGCACTCAGATACACCACTGGATTCCACCCTCCCTATTAGAACATAAGGCTCAGGATGAAGTTGCTCAGTGCCTGTGACATAGACTTTTTATTGTTGTGTCAATTTTTTAATAATATTTTATCACATTATGTAGAGAAAAAAAGTCATGCTATTTTTTAAGTTGATTGAGATTGACAATAGCTGCAGTTTTCCTCTGTTTCCTAATCCCAGGCAAGCATTTGCATATATCTGTGGGCGTCATTATTTTTGGACCATCCAAGGCATGGTGAAACCTGGGTGAAAGACAGTGATCTGTCAGTCAACAATGCATACTTTTATGAGGGGGTGATAAATAGCAGTACCACTCAGTGGCAGAATTTTTTCCCTGCTCTCATTTCATTATCACAAGGAGAGAAACACTGTATTGCTCTTTATGTTTTGTGGGTAATCTCAGTGTTGTCAGTGAGCAAAGCTAATAAGTCATGAGGGAAAGCTAAAGATTAAACACATGTGTCTATGTGTGTCTGCACACATACGTGTGTACATCGCTATTCTTATATATAAAATCCTACACAGGCATTTTCTTTTTTTAATATGAGCTTTAGGGCTTGTTCTCACTATAACAATAGCTTGCCTAATCTACACTTGGGTAAAGCTCCTGTCAAGTTAACCTAACTTGAATGAGAGAAGTTTGCTTCAAGGTAGTGGTATTTGGATAAGCAGCAGAGAAGTTCAGTCTTGTCTCATTACCAGCTTCAGAGTTGGCTGCATGTTTGTACACTGGCTTTAAGCCACACTTCACTTACAGGCCAAGTAAAATCAAGAAACCAAATTTTTCTTTGGAAATCTCCCTTCCATGTACTTCTTCAGACTGTTCCTGCTGGAGGAAATAGGCAGAGGAGGGAAAGATTACCATTGTTGGAGGAATTATTAGCATTCATCCAGGTATGCCAAGTTCTGTCAAATAAAGAAGTAAATATTTGAGAAGCCACGTCAAGTTTTCATCCACACAAAAAACATGGAGAAAGGATGCAAGAGAATGCAGAAGATGAAAGAGAAAGACTCTTATTTCTTAGAAACTGAAGATGAATAAGATTGCAGAGAGGCCAGCAATGTCCAAGTGAAGGATAATACAAGAGGAAAAAGTAACGGATATGGAGAGAAGCTGTTGAAAATGAGAGGGAGAGGAATGTGAAAGAAGTGAAGAAAAAAGAGAGGGAGACCTGCAGCACTGCTAGTGGAAATAAAGACATGCAGGGATATCGTATGAAATTATGTTGACTGGAAGATGAGAAGGTGATGGCATTGGTGTAACATTGTTCAGGATGATCCCACAGGCCTACAGTGCTCTGCACACCCACTGCGCTTGCTCCCGACATGGCTTTTCAGCTGGGGAAAACTGACGTTCGCTTACAGGTGTAGCCGTGTAACAGAGATGTCAGGAAATGTGCTCGGTTGGATGCGTTCACATTCTTTCAGCTTGAGTTGTCAGGTGCATTGTTTGTACCTGCACTGGTAAATAATATCAGAGGTGCCAGTTGGGGGGCTCTGTGGGCCTAGTAGAACTACTAGTAAGCAGCGAAAACCACTCTTTTTGCCTCTACCCTCCTTGTTTGACCCTGAAATGTTAGTAGAGATTTCTGCAGATATACCAAGCTCAGATCTCTGAAGTGTACTACTTTTACAGTCACTTTTCTGATTATAGTGGCAGTATTTTCTTAAATTACTTGAAGATGAAAGCAGTAATTGCCAAAAGAGACCTGAAGAGAGTAATACTGAACCATTATTTTCCAAATCAGGAAATATCCCAGTAGGTGCACTTTTTATTTGTTTGTTTGTTTTGTTAGTTTAGACATTTAGCGTGCTTTTACTTACCCAGACATTTGGAACAGAAAATTGGCAGTGTATTTCCAAAAGAAAAAAGCTATGTTAATTCAGAAAAGTGACTAGAGAAACCACGGTAAGAAATTCATAGCACACCGTCTCACATGAAAGCAAATAAAAAAGTAATACTGTTGGAGCAGCAATGTGCACCAAGTATAGATCTAAATATTTCTGTTGGTAAATGGTTGGCATTCCTACCTGTAAGGGCTGTGATGCCATGTAATCTCAAATTCAGTCAAGTAAGATTATGCAGTGATTATTGATATGAGACTTCCACAGAAACCTGGGTTTCTCAGCTCCCTTTTTGTAATGTTATCTAGTTACTCTACTGAGATAAGTCTTGATTATCAGCTGTTGTTTCACTGCAGTACACCAAGCTGTGCCTGAATTTCTTGGCAGGGAAAGTATATTATATACATTTATCTTAGAATAAGTAAACATAAGCCACAACAATAATACATAGTTTCTTAAATGTAGGTTTCTAGATACATAATTCAACATGTGTATAAACAACCCACTGAATAGCTCAGCTGTTTTGCCCAGTTCCTGCTTTTACTGGAAATAATAGTAAACCCCTCAATAGGCTCAAAGGTGATGATTTGGTAAGGGAGGTGGTAGAGTAAAGTCATTATCAGCAGGGTAAGAATCTGTTTAGCAGAAATGTATGCAAAACCAGAAGTGCTCTATGGTGAAATTGCTCAGTCCAGCTGATATAGTTCTTAGTTCAATACTGACTTAAAAATTGAAGATACTGATGAAAGGAACTAGTTTTTAGACATTTTCTGGATGGTTAGCTAGAGAATCAGTGTATTGCTTGGTGGTTATCATACACATATTAAAAAATTGCTTTCTCACAACTTGTCATGATTTTTTACACCTCTACCTGAATTTCAGCTCTATTTAGATCCTATGATCAGCTTTCAGTGTACTTTGGTCCATGTATTGTAGTTCTGGGACTCTGTTGATACTGTATAAATTTACCTATAGTTATTTGTTTATCTTCTCATTATACTATTGTGATCTTTTTCAGTGTATCTTGAAGACAGTTTTGTGAAATCAGGAGTGTTCAACGTGTCAGAACTTGTGAGGGTGTCCAGAAGTAAGTTATCATCTACATTTAATAATTTCCAGAGCCTACTATAATCAAGTGAAGGTTTTCTTGAAGGTTTTTTTCCTCCCCAAGATGTAAGATGCATAGGAAATGCCTGTAACCACGCACAATTTTAAGATCTTTGGCTACAGTATTACAGTTCATCTTGCATGTGTTTATAATAAACCCAACAGAAGTCTTCTTTTGTCTCTTTGATATTTAAAGATTGAATCAATTTGTTATGTGTCCCTCTGCACAGCTAAATGGACTGATATGTCAATAAAATTACCATATGTAACAAAACCTTCTATTTGTTAGATTTGCAGCTTTTTAAGGTTGTCCTACACATCTTTGGATTTTGCTAAACCATCTGATTATTCTTTTAGTTTGTTTTTTAATTTGTAGCTCTTAAAAGAAAAATCACAGCATAGATATAAAGGATGACTAACTTAATCTATTACACACTTCTGTTTCTTTTACTCATAGCACTGGCTGTAATTGAATTACTAATTATGTTGGCTTGTTTTGGCGTCAGAAATATTAGGCACATGAACATGGCAAAAAAAAAGTAGCATAAAATATAAATATAAAAGGACAGGTGAAGCTTTTATTGCAGAAAGAAAAACCAAAATGAACATAAATAAGATCTGTTTTGTTGACATCTAAGAATTTGCTGTAATAGTATGGCATAAAACCAGTACTTATTTTCATTTGACATTGCTTTCTGAATGCTTTTTTTCTCCCTTTAGTATCCACACTGTTAAAGTATTTCTCTTAAGGCTTCATTAGGAATTGAACAAAAATACTTGAAAGTTATAGTTAGAAGTGTCCGCAGTGATGACGCCAAAGTTATAAAAACTGAATGGTTCAGGAAAATCTCTTTTCTGGTGAGGTGAGGACAAAACCAGTGAGGCACAAGTTTCCAAAACTGTCTGTCCAAATTTTACACAGAAGTTAATTCAGGCCAGGTCAGGATGCTTGAGGAATTTAATTAACTTAGTGAGGATTAAGGTGCATGTGTCATTTCATTTGCTGTGGTCAGAAATTAATATTCAACAATTAAAATTATGTTAAGTCTTTCAGCAAAATACTGAGCATTGCCATCCTGCAGTGTTAAGACATATTCTTTTTGTGTTTGCTGAAAATAGGGTTTTGCTGTTTTAGGAGGCTGAGGATGTATGAAATCCAGCTTTCTTTTAGTTGTCAGGTCGTTAAATACATTTTAAAGTATCAGGCCATTCAGATTAAAAAAGAGTCAGTATTGTAGTTATGTTATGAAATAGTACCTTCTGCAGCTGTTGTACACTGTATACTTCTAATAATAAGCTTTAGAGCATGTGGTTTCTGTGGGATTTCTTACCATGCATTTGTTTAACCTCAAGCCACAACAGAGTTGTACTTTAACTGTCAGGAAAAATACAAACCTTCAGCTACATTACACAACATGCAATTATTCTTTTAAGTGCCAAAGGTAGTTAAAATGCACAATGCACAGACAGTGAACAAAGGTAAATATACCACAATATGTAGCATATAGTTTGCTCCTGAAATGCCAAGACGTACAGTACACAGACTCTGTAAGGAGGTGAAGATAACACTGAATGTGTGTTTTTGTGTGTAGGTGTACATATGCAAAGCAGTACCTGTGGCACTGGGTGAAAGAAAAAGGAGGCAGCAAAACATGCTGTCAGTACAGAAGGCTATAGTTCATACAAAAGAGTTAACATTAAGGGAAAAAGTGTTTGTCTGCCCCCAAGTTTGTCCTTTCCAGTTGTTTCAGTTCTTTAATAAACAGTGTTAGCTGCCCTTATAAACCCTGCCTCATTCACTGTAAAAGTCTTTATACAGAAGGCTTGACTTCGTGCTGAGGTTTGTGTTACCTTCTTCATATAGGTGATTCCAGGTTGTCTATTATACAACAAATATATTATGTCTGTATAACTGCTAAGGGATTTCTTAGCCATAGGGGAAGGTAATAGGGGAACTGGGGAAGATAATTCACTTTTTTAGATATAGAAACAGTGATAGAACTTGTTTGTACTTGGTTTCTGCAATAGGCAGAAAATCAGATACATGTAGTAAGATCTTGAAGTTTTTCCCAGTGTTAAATATGAAAAGATGGCTGAAAAGATAGAAGATTAACTTTGACTCACGATGATATGTTTTTCAGCACCCATAACCCAGGGAACTGGAGTGAACTTCCCAATTGGAGAGCTTCCAAGCCAGCCATATTACCATGATATGAATTCGGGTGTAAATCTACAGAGATCCTTGTCCTCTCCACCAAGCAGGTAAAAACTTGAAATAAGTTCTAATGTGTTTAATAATGTGGGACAAGCAATTCACAAATACTGTCAACAGCCCACTATTTTATGAATTTGCTCTGATTTTGTGAGGTAGGCTACTTATGTAAGTTACCATAATCTATGTACAGATACATATGTTACAAATCTTGTAATTTGAGTGGAGTCATTATTGCCTGTCATTGCTGTTGATATCAAAGATGATAATAACGTTTGTCAGGGTTTGAAGTGCTCAGTAAATCATCTGCCAAGAGAACAGCTACACATCCTGGAACTGCTCCTGAGTTGCAGGAAGGTCTAGCAGCCAGGAACCTGCTGGCAGGGCTTGATGCCACAGGGTGGTTGCAGGTACAACGGCTGTCTTTGAAGGCTCCCTCTTGAACCTCCATCTTGAAAGATATGTTGGAACAGATACTGTTTCCTGTGGAAAAGGCATTAGGACAGGTATATAAAGACAAGGTGTCTTTATCTGTAGCATCACCCAGCTCATGAAAGTGTGTCTCCTGCCTCACCCTTACAAGGGGCATTTCCCAGCACAGTGGGAACAAGGAGGAGCATGTGAGGTAGTCACAGGCTCTTTGATTTTTCTCAAGGGTCTCCATGTGCCTGCTACAGGCAGTTCGATCTGAGGGACCCACTTCTTCCTTGCTTCACATGGTCCCTTCTTTCAACTCTGAGAAAGACACCATTCCCCCCTTCAGGAGCAGATGTCAAGCGGGCAGAGGTGGAGAACCTGCTGTGCCCTCCTTCTGGCTCCCAGATGATGTACTGTCACACCCCTGGGGACCCTTGGTTTTCTGAAACTGTCCGATGTACCATGACATTATAAGCACTATAGGACCTCTCATTGCCCCGTGTTTCTGCACCCCAGTGAGTCAGGAAGTGTCTGCACAGTGGGACAGGATTTAACAGGACTGTCAGGGACCTGCGGTGTTCTTCCACCAGCACCTGGTGCTTCTGAGTTATTTTGCTCATATTCCTCTATTTCATTCCATTGTATTTTCAGCTTGGCAATTCTCCTAGACCATTTTGGAAATGGATAGATTGATTCTCACAGTGTTGTCTAAATAATAATCATAACCATAATCATCATAATACCACCAGCATTAAAACATTCATCCTAGTTTTCTTTGGCAGTCAGCATAACAGCTTCAGTATATACTGTTACGAAGAAACTTGACTTCCCCCACCGTATTGAAATGCTGCCTCATTTTATATAGTGTGACTTGAAATACGGACCTTTTGTTGTTTTTAATTAAACTAGTCTAAAATGAAAAGTCTTTGTTTCAGGGTAGACCTCGTTGAAAGGCTTAAGATTTTGACCTGGTGAAATACAGTAAACTACTTTTTTTCCTTATTAACACATTCAGAAAAGTTTCTGTTTTACCTTGACTTTATTAGTAATACTTTTCCAATGCTTTGTTTTGCTTTTATGGTTTCTGCATAATGTTTAACACTCTCATGGCACAACTTTTCTTTGGTAGTTACAGGAGGTGGTTTCTTGGTTGTTCAGCCAAATGCTGGTAGACTTTTATGTTACCCATTCATGCCATCTCTGAAATATTAAATCATGTGAAAAATGCAAGCACATACCTGCATTACATATTATTAAATAACATTGTCTATGTAAGTTAATGTAAGCTCTAATATTCACTTTTTTTGTGCTTTGTGTGCCTGAATTACTTTGTATTGAAATACTTGTTGAACTCCAAACAGTTTATATACCAGTACTAGCTGCATATCATATTTACTGCCAAATCTCATGTTACTTCAACAGCAAAAGACCCAAAACTATCTCCATAGATGAAAATATGGAGCCAAGCCCGACAGGAGACTTTTATCCTTCTCCAAATTCACCAGCTGCGGGGAGTCGGACATGGCATGAAAGAGATCAAGGTGAGTAACATGGGGCCATTTTACCTCAAAGTATATTCAAATATACAATAAATCTGCATCTGCCTTTCCAGTACTGCAATAAAATGATGGCTGTTTAGGAGAATCATTATTTTTCTGTCTGGTATGTGTATTTGCTGGTTGTGTAAATGTAGTTAAAACCAACAGTCAACAGGATATATTATAAACAACCACATAATAGTTTTTCCATCTGATGACTGCCTTATCTGTTGTTTGCAAAGATGTGTGGCAAGTGAGGTACTTGATATTGTGTATACTGTGATCATCCCAGCAGGATTTTGAGTACAATGGTTTCAAGTAAAAACCAAAACATCTTCATACTATGCTTGAGTCAATATTAGTTTACTCATTTTTTATTTTACCATGACAGACTTCTATATGTGCATTTAGTCCATACTAGGTGAGATAGGCTCTTTTCTAAAGAGCCCAGACATAGCTCTGTGGGACTATATCCATATGCTGAAGGGTGTTGGTAAGTGGTGGTGTTTTGTTTTGCGTTGTCAGAAGCGGCGAACATGTTTGTGTGGAAAAGAAATTTATGGCTGTCCAAACAGTAAAATTAATTGTTATAACTTTCCCTCATGTTATCTTGATACTTTGGAAACCTAGATGCCAGTGTAGTCTTTTCCCTCACTTTTGTGATGTGAAAACGTGTTTAAACTCGCAAGTATTTGAACAGTGTTAGCTGATGGATGCTCTGGCTGAGGTGCTGCAGCTATTTGGAGAGTCTGTGAAATGTACAGCACAGTATGTAAAAGTGAAATAGAGAGTGCCATTCCTTCCTTTGCTGATCTTCCAAGGTTTGCCCTCCTTTTCCCTGTCCGCTGCTCATTGTTGCTCTCAGTTCTTCAGTAACCAATCAATCCTTTGATCTTATCTTATTTTTATATTATTTTAGGCTTCTTTTTTTTTTTTTTTTTTTTTTTTCCTGTGAAGTTTTCTCTTTCATCTCTGTGTGCAAGGTAGCATGTGATTGGTGTTTAATTTAGCTGCCTTTTATTTTCATAGTTTTGTTATAGTTGGTCTCCTTTTAATCTGCTTCTGCCTAGCCTCTGATATGTGTTCTCATCATTAGGCTATTCCTCTCACACAGTGTTTACTAGTTTTTTTCTTCATCGTTTCTTTTGTACTTTTTGTTCTCTTAGAGGCTCTGATATTTTCTTATTTGTAGCTGTTTGCAGTATTCACTGCTGAATTAAAAAAAAAAATAATCTTGCCCTTGACTTTGCATAACCAAACTTAAGAACAGTGAAATAGTTTTGCCAGCCAGAATCTTCTCCTGTGTACAAAATATTTTCCTCTGTGACTGTTACCTGTTTTGCCATGACACTTTATTATGATTTTTCATAAAAGACAGGGTTGTACCTCAACTGATTTTTGTGCTTTCAAAATAAATTACTTTTACTGTTGTGGGGAAAACAGCCCATTGTTGCTCTCTGAAGTGGTCTCCACATATCCCTACTTGTGAAATGAAGCCCTTTTGTGCTTCCAAGAGAGCTGTGGGGGCTTCCAAGAAATGCAATGCTGCATGGACGGCTGAGCCTGAGTCCTGCTGACAGAGCCTTTCACAGATGATCTCTATAGTTCCCAACTATATCTCAACTGCTTTTTAGCTCTTGAATCATTCTGCTTGTAAAGAACTGTGCTCTGGTTTTGTTCAGTTTCACCAGCCTTCTTCATGTCATATTTGCCCGTAGTGAACAATGTTACTGTTCAGATTCCTTGAACAGATTTACAATGAACCTTTACTTAATTTCTGTGCCATTAGGTAGCTAGACTTCTGGACTGAAACACACTTTAACTCTCGCTATATGTTTCATAAACCAGAGAACTTCAAAAGATGAGAAAGAGAGAATAAAAGAGAGAAACTTGAATCAATGTATGTTATTTTTGGTTCCCAGAATTTACATTCCTCCCTGAATATCCTGTTCTCCAACACTGCTGGGCCCAGTGAAATTTTACCAGATCCCTGGCAGAGAGGTTGTCTTTGAGACACTATGAGGGACTTTGTTTTTTCTGTCCTCCATTCCTTCAGAGGGACAGATATGCCACTGTCCAGTCTGAAAATCATTATACGGGGGGAACCATAAACCTTTTGCCCCTAACCATTTATGTTTGGCTCCAGTCACTTTCTGAGGTTATCCTGCTGCTGTGGAAACACTGTAAGGTAGTGACTGCAATGCCTGTCCTTTGTACCTGGCCTCACTGGGAAGACGTATGTGGCAGCTCCTGGCATATTTGTTCTGCTGCTAGTTTGTGAGATGCTTGATATCATCTTCATACATGCTGATATGATGTGTAAAGCTCCTTTTGGACACAGAGGTCTTACCAGGATATGATATTTGTGAAAACCTATATTCTGTTTCCTTACTCCTGCAAGCACAAAGATAATAGAAAGAAAAGTTTGGAGGTGGTTTCTATGCTGCAGGGCTCACTGGTACTACTTCCCTCTCTCCCATGGAGATCTGCGTGTTATATGAGGTTAGGCATAAATGAAAAAAAAAGGAGAAGCCATTTGGGATCACATTTGTGTTCATCCAGTGTCACCAGGGGATGCTTATGTAGTCCCAACAGACACTGCTTTTCCAGGCAGTCTCCAAGGGTCAGCAGCAGCAGAAATATGAATCATTCCACAGTACCCACAAATGAGAATATGCAGAGGTGTCATGTTTCTGGGTAAGTAGCTTCTCTTTCACTCTGATGCAATTTTAACTTTTCCAAGAGAAACAAAATCAGAAATAGAGTTGATATTAAGGCACAGCATTATTGATTTCAGTTTCATTGTCTCTGTTTTGAACCTGACAGAACAAAATCTTTAACTTCTGACCTGAAATAGACCTAATTTCTTCACCTGCATACCTAAGTGTAATGTATTTTCATAGAAATAGAAATGACATAGATTTGAAAGATTCTTTTATATCATATCTTTATTTAGTTGCATTTTAAAGTAGCAGAAATGAAATGACAGTGGTGGTTTGGAAATGGAGATAGTAACAATAAAACAATGATAGATGAAACAGGTTGGAATAAAGCAGTTTGGAGTTTTGTAGGTGTCTAGGGGGTGTCTAACCATTTTGATAGAGAATGGGACAAAGATTAATGGGTTACACAGAAATAGGTTAAAAATTTGACAGACAACAATTTGCAGTGGGGTGGAACAGGTTAGGTCAACCTTTTATTGCTGTGAAAAACAAATATCATGTAGTTTAGTAGGTAAGTAGATGAGAGGAGTGATTCTGTGTGAGTGATTCTGTTGCAATCCTCATAGTTTCTACAGCCTCTCTACTGTGCAAGCATGCATCATGACAGGTAGGAGCATGACTACAGGAGTACTTGTGGTTTAACCGGGATGTGGCATTTGTGAAACTAAGAAAAAGAAATCCAGCCCAGTTACAATAAAATCTCCCTCATACGACTCTCTATTTTCAATTGTAAAAATCCAGACTTTGTCCTTTTGCTGTTATTTTCTTCCTGTGGTACTACTTCCAAAAATGTTTTGATAAGATTTCCAGATGTTGTGTTTTATAGTCTATTTTAGGGGAGTTGGGTGTTTGGAGATGTAATTCTGGGTAGAAATAAGTAAGCATATCTGAAAAATGGGAACTTTAGGTGGCATAAGGTTGGTCAAAGCCAATCCACAAAGCGTTATGCTCTAGTATTGTTATGCACGTTATTGTTCTGATGTAAAAATATGAAAACTCAAATTAACCAAAATTAGTATTAAAAATAAATTTTTATTTGTATTTATTGAAGTCAGATTGTAAATCCTTGTGGAAGAAAAGAAAAGCTTATGAAGCCATGATACTGTCCCGGAGGTTCACTTCATTGGCTTGCAAAAGTTTGTGTCTATTTTAAAAATACATGTAGCCAGAAAAGTATGTGTAACAGTTTCAAAAAAAGATTTAAAAAAAAAAATACTATGGATTTACAATGTTGTTTTTGCATTTACATACATTCAGTCATTGTGGGAAGATTCTGTAGTTTGTGCCATTATTTTTGCTGTGTTAGATATGTAAAATATGACTTTATGTGCATGAGTTTTTGAAACAGGTGTGAGATCTTCCTGCAGAGCAAATAGAGAGGTTTATAATTGCAAAGATTTCTCAGGAACCTTCTCTCTATCATTAACCTCCCAAGTAACTAACCATCCTGTAAAAATCTCAGAGCCTAAGAAAGTGAAAAATCATCTCTGAGAATGGTGCATTACTTAGAACTAGAGCCCTAACATGGCAATTAGGAGCTCAGTTTCTGTGTCTGCTGTCAAATCTTGCGCAAGTTATTTGTTCTCGCTTGTACCTCAGTTTTTCCAGTTGAATGTCTTACTAACTCCAGTAATGTCTGGATCATGTCTTACTTACATTTCTACCAATTGGAAAGATATCTAGATCTAAAAAGTAGTTTGCTGTAAATCTCTTGCAGTCTTCCTTTTTCCAGGTTGCTATTGCTGAATTCTACATAATTCTACATTAAAAAAGATTTTGAGTTTTTGCAGTAGTGTAGTAACACTTCATGAAAAAGATGGAAGTTGCTGCATGAGTAAATTTGCTGAATGTTTTAGAAATTCTGAGGAAGTTAAAATTTTGTACAGTAAAAAAAAACATAAATCACCCTCCCCATTAGGAAAAGTAACTTATTAAAAATATAACAAAACCAGCAACTAGCGCAGTGGGTAAAAACTACTTCAGATCTAATAGGCAACGATGGTCAACATCTTGATTTATTAACTGGTAAGTAAATGAGATACTTTTTCCTTAACTCATAAGGAAACAGGAGTATCAGAAGAACAGAGCACAGTGTGACTTCCCTTCTAAAAGCTAGCTTGACAAAGTGCATTAATATAATTGCAGACAATTTCGCTATTTGACCTTGGGATCTATTTTACTGTTATAGTGTTGCAACACTGTGTATGTTGTAAATAAATAAGACGGGTTATCACCAATACACACCAGTCATGATAAAAGTGGAGAGATTCATGTGGATTT